ACCCGACTCCCTCCTGGAAATATTTCATCCGTTTCGCCCCCCTCATTCCCCGATTTAAACAAAATATTTCAGGGAATATTCCCCGCTCGTATGAATGTCAGAAATGAGCGTAAACCCGAAGTCGCTCGGTTCGCTTCCGCACTTTCGACACATTGACCTAGACTGATATTTCCCTGCCCCAGGTTCGTCACAGGCGAGCGGTGCCCTTAATCCACCCAAAAAAAAAATAGTTTATCCCGTGCTCGTCCGAGACAAGGATTCATTTTTCTTGACATCCCTCCGAAACGGAAGGGGAAAGGTTTTAAACTGGGAATCGCTCCATTCCCCCGTCGCGGCGGTGACAGCCGCTCAAACCCCCATTATCCGTCGCACTTTCGACAGGGCCGCTTCTCCATCCAAGTGTTCTCCGTCATGCTCCACCTCGAAGAAAACGTTTTAATTTTAGGAGGGATCTCACCCTCGGGGATGTTTAAAAATAGGAACAAGAATTAGTTTAAACTCTCAGTCGCTCCGTTCCCGTTCGCAGTTTCGTCAAGACCTTATTGCGGTGTTTCCCTACGGATGCTCCTCCATTCCCCGCCGCACATTCGTCGGCACGCCGTTTCCAGTAGGTACCATATTTATTCCATTATTTAACAATGAACCACCGCCGCCGATGATGGACATAAAATCCCGATTTTACTTGTCTCTTTTCGGTGCTGATTCCGAGCTGTTTGACCCCTGAACGCTCCATTCCCGACCACACTTTCGTCGGAACGACTCCGGCCACAGGGCAGCTCCTCCATTCCTCTTCGTACTTTCGTCAAATCTGGTGAAGGGGTGGGGGGTCACCCATTCTTTCATTTAGATAAAAGGCGAATAGCCCACCGCCGGGGAAGGACATAATATTCTGATTCTATTACCCTCTCCGCCGTGTTCGTTCCGTTAACTCTCGCCCCAGGATCGGTCCATTCCCGGTCGCACTTTCGTCGTTTGAGGCAGTGATCTCCCTCCATTCCGCGCTGCACTTTCGACACTGCAGCCGCCCCATAATTTAGACATTTGTCCCACTGTTCCCGTCGCGGGACAATCTTTGGAAAATATTCCGTCGCCCCCCACCTCCCCGTGGTCCTGAATTGGAAATCGCTCCACTCCTGTTGGCAGATTCGTCACAGCATGGGTCCATGACAATAAGGACTCCGAACCCCAAATTGATATCAACTTTGACTTCTTCAATCCTTTGTGGACTCTCCCTGTCCAGTCTCTTCACACACATGTCCCTGGTGCTTCATATCATGGGCATTAGCTCCCCTGAGCCAATGGAACAATGGCCCCTGTAGTCCATTCTCCATTGGGATAGTCTCTAGTCTCTTCCGGGGAAGTAGACCCTAAACTGTGCTGCTCCATTCTCCCTGGGTTGGCCCCTCCAGTGTCTTTGAGGGGCATTCTACCCCCGGCTCAGGTCCTATTTCCATTTTCCACCCTGTCCCCCCACTCCGCCTTCCCTTCCTCAACATCCCATCTTCCAATTTCTAAGAATAGGCTGGCCACTGAATCTGCGACAGACTCACACATCTCCTGCATTTCCTACAGGGATTTGTGAGAATGGGTTGCTATCAGCAGCAGAATGAAATGCTGCCTCATAGCACCAGGGACCTGGGTTTGAATCCCACCCTCGGGTGACTGTGTGTGTGAAGTTTGCATGTTCTCCCTATGTCTGTGTGGGTTTCCGCCAGGTGCTCCAGTTTCCTCCCACATTCCAAAGAAATGCAGGTTAGGGTGGATTGGCCATGGGAAATTGTCCCTTAGGGCCCAGGGACGTGCGGGTTAGGGTGGATTGACCATGGCAAATTGTCCCATAGTGCCCAGGAATGTGCAGGTTAGGGTGGATTGGCTATGCTAAATTACCCATAGTGCCCAGGGATGTGCAAGTTAGGGT